TTTTGTAATAACCATTGCAAAATGTAATAATTTATTACAAAATGCAGGGACATTTATTTTATATTGCGTTCAGGCTGTTACAGAATGCAGCAGATTATTACAAAATGTGGGTTTTATTACATAATTACATAAAAATGTTCTTGAGTCATGACATAATGTGTTGTTTATAGGCCTTTTCTTTTATTCGTTCCTTGTCCTTCTTTTAATGAGTATTTTGATAACTGTTACACATTGATAGAAAAAAACAAATTAAGCTTCTCATTATTCAGACTCAGCTCTCAGCGCTTAAGCTTCTTTTAAATGTTGATAAAACCAAGGTAATGCTCTTTTCAAAAGCTAAAAAGACACCAGAGCCTGTTTTAGATATTTTAATTACACAAGGAATAAAACTTGAAGTGGTTACCTGTTACAAATACCTTGGTATCTGGCTTGATGATTGTCTCACTTTTAAACTTCATGTCAATAACCTGCTTAAAAAACTGAGGGTTAGGCTAGGTTTCTTTTCCAGGAACAAGTCCTGTTTCTCACTTGAGGCCAGGAAAAGGCTAGTCACTGTGACCTTTTTACCTGTACTGGACTATGGTGATCTGATCTATATGAATGCACCTGCCAATTGCCTGGTCAAGTTAGATGCCGCCTATCACAGTGCACTGAGATTTGTGACAAACTGTAAAGTATTAACCCATCACTGTACCCTGTATGCAAGGGCAGGTTTGCCTTCACTAACTGTACGGAGGCTCAGTCACTGGTACATTTTTATATACAAAGCCATGTTAGGGAAACTTCCTTCCTACATCTGCTCCCTGATCTCACGGCGAATTGTAAGTGGCTACTGCCTGAGATCGAATGCTGTGGTTTTATTAAATGTGCCAACTGCTAGGACTGTCTTAGGGAAGATAGCATTTAGATGCGCAGCTCCGCTAACTTGGAACAGTCTGAGCAATTTGGTTCCGCTAAATGTTTTTAAAGCAAGGATAGATACTATCCAATCGGAAACTGTTGGAACCTGTAAATGTTACTAGCTATGTAAACTGTAGTCACTGTAAATATGCTGTATGATGTCCTTTTTTGTTTTTCTGTTATGTTTATATGTATTCATGTGGAACCTACTTGCAGTAGGTCACCCTTGAAAAAGAGATCAATGATCTCAATGGGATTCACCTGCATAAATAAAGGTATGAAATGAAAGATTTTTTTTATCAGAACATGCATTTCTCCTCATTGTGAACATATATTGCACTCATGTTCAGAATATATGGTACGTACATGGTCTTTTATAAATCTGAATATATATAGTGCATACATGTCCCCATATAATTGTGAATATATAGCGCATACATATCCCCATATAATTGTGAATATATATAGTACATGTCCCCATATAATTGTGAATATATTCTGCATACATGTCCCCATATAAATCTGAATATATAGAGCATACATGTCCCCATATATTTGTGAATATATATAGTACATGTCCCCATATAATTGTGAATATATTCTACATACATGTCCCCATATAAATCTGAATATATAGTACATACATGTCCCCATATATTTGTGCATATATATATAGTACATGTCCCCATATAATTGTGAATATATTCTGCATACATGTCCCCATATAAATCTGAATATATAGAGCATACATGTCCATATATTTGTGAATATATATAGTACATGTCCCCATATAAATGTTAATATATAGTAAAATGTATGTTCACATATATACACAACCAATATATTATATATATTTACATATATTACTCAATATATGGAAAGCGGCAATTACTGATGTATTATCCCATATATTACAATATATTATCACAATATATTATTCAATATATATATATTGTAATATATTAACACAATATATTATTCTATATATCTTCAATATATTTTCAATATATTTTGTAGATATGAATAAATATGTTTTTCATGTTGATTATTAATCAGTATCACTTGGTGTAGCCAACAGCAAGATTTCCTTTATTAAATCTTTTCAATTAACCAGTAAATCAGAAAACAAAATAATGCAATATATTGACAGTTAATATATGGGGAAATATATTTTCTTTGCGTAAGGGTTGCCTCGCTTCTGAAGCAAGTGACTCGGAAGACATGTGCTACCAAGCAAGCGTCCTCGACATTGAGAAACACCCACAGCCTCAGAGTCCGGCGCACTTCCTGGGGGCTTGATACACATGAGCAGCCTTGAAATATCCTGCAACGAAGGATTCAGTCCTCTGTAAAATTCCAAGGATCCTGTACATTGGAACAGTCCTTCGGCGGGATTCGATGACGTGGCATCCTTGAAATAGAGGCTCTGAAGAATCCTTTATTGAGAAGCAGCTAGTGTTTTCATGCTGGTGTCGCAGGACATTTACGCCACTGCTCACTATCGTTGCGACCTGGTTGCGACAACAGTGACCCCACGTGGTAGTCGAGTTACATTATATTTCTTTATTGTACACATGCTCATTTAGATTGCAAACAGAAAGCCATGAAAAAAAGACTAAACAATTCACTATTTGTTAAAAATATATATATATAATGAATAATTGCGTGATAAATCTTAATCTTCTGCATTTATTAAACTAAAAAGAGTGATTCTTTGTTTGCAAAGACGTTTTCTTTGGTAACAGTATGTGGTCTTTGTTGTTGGTCTCTATAGAGTCTAGACCAGGGCTCTCCAACACGTCGATCGCGAGCTACCGGTAGCTCGCGGGCAGCTTTTCAGTAGCTCGCCGCTCGATTATCGATTATAGCGTAGTAAGGTTGCTTATTGATTTTTCGGCCGCGGCTGGACAATAACGTTTTTTTATTTTAGATTTTTTTCTGTCACACGAATATCAAATGGTCGGTGACGCAGAGATCAAGGAACAGACGTGACAGCAGCACAGCGACAACACACACGGAGCAGTCTGCTTTCTCCACCAGCACGAGTCCAGAACTAACAGCAGAATGACCCGCTCTGAATCAGGCCCTGTCGCTGCGCCTCAGAGACACACAGGGAGGGATTTGTGTTTTTTGAAAAACACTCGTTATCGTCATGTCAGGTTTTTGGTGAATTTAATCAAGTCTTGGATTGCAGAGTATGAATGTCCTCTTGCTATTTTCAGTTGATAAATACTTGTGTAAAGTTTGTGAAGGCAGGAGGAAAGCTTCCGCGATCACCGTCTCCTCTCCGTTCCTCCAAACCCCGCCCCCTCCCTGAAAATAATGAGTGACAGGCTGATAGTGACCCGATAGAAACTTTATTATTCACTTAATCACTGATTGAGATATGATGAAGCTAACTTAATCTCATACATTCATGGGATTTATGTAACAGTAAGACAGAGAATGTAAGTGTGCACCCACATGCACTATTTTTGTTTTTATAATGCTATTGTAAATAATCCTGCTGTTTTCAGACTCAAGTCATGTGTGTCTTTTTTTTAACAGAAGACCGTTGCTAGAAGCTGCAGCTAGACTGCAGAAGTATTAGTTTTTTGTTTTTGAGGATGGAACCATTTTCACACACAGATATAGGGAGGCTAGACCTATACAATTGATTTATTATGGTTTATAATTTAATGTCAAGACGAAGAAGAAGAAGAAAAAGATGGCTGAACAACTGTTCAGTGTCAATCCTGTGGAGATCTCCAAAATAATGTTCAGCTTAAGTCTCAGCAAAACTCACAACATTTCTGGAGCCTTGTAGACCCAGAAAACTATAAGAACATTCACCAAGCAGCACTGAAAATGTCTGCTTTATTTGGTTCTGTTCTACATACCTTTGTGAAGCAGCTTTTTCTGACATGAATGAAATCTAAATACAGAACAAGACCGACTGATGAACATTTAAATGACTCTATTAAGTGAACCTAAGTGGGTCCAGCATACACCTCTATGGTGGACTGTATGCAGTGCCATTAATCTCACTAACAAAAGAGTGAAATGCTTGTAAGGTGGTGATTAAGGACACTTATGTGAATGTTCAGTGATGTACTTATTATGTGGGCCATAATAATATGTGAGAAATCTTCGTTTTCTTGGACCTTATTTTTGATAAGCTTTAGGTATTGCAATTTCACACGTGTACAAAAGTATAGCTTAATTCAACTGATGAGGGCTATGTGAATAAATGTAAGCGATGTGATGCAAGTAGCTCTTGGCCACTTTCATTTTTTGAAAGTAGCTCTCAGATGAAGAAAGGTTGGAGACCCCTGGTCTAGACCAACAACAAAGACCACATACTCAATAAGCATATTAATTCAATAGTCTTGAATGAATATGCTTATTGAAAGGCAGGTTTCTTAAAAAACACTGACCAGGTGACACATTTCTTATCCTTAATATCTTGGTTTCTTCTTTTCTAAGGTCCCATTGTTCTGTTATCTAACATAATACACTAGAGTAACATCCCTCTTATTGTTATTTAGTTTCTCTTATATATTTACACATTGATAGTGAGGTACTTTCATAAGCAATGTAAAGTAATCAGGCTACAGTACTTTAATGCTGCAATACTACTGATGACATTTTAAGGTATAAGGAATTGTAACAAAATGTATTTTTAAAGTAATTACCAACCCTACCCATGTGCGTAAAGTTATTATACAATCGTATAAGTTGTGCCACCCTAACAGGTGCAGCAACAGCTCATATTTTGTGCTCTGTGAAAAAAAATACTCTACATCCATGGAAAATACACAGGGCTTTTCTCAATCTGTGTTTCTGTCTGTACTTGTGTTCTTGTGTAACATCCATTTTATTAAAGGGTCTAATCAGCCGTAAGTGGAAACACCTGAGTGGATGTACCATGGTCCATGTGTGAGAATAAAGCATATACCCTTGTACAGAGGTGGCAGATATGGTATACACACAAGAAAATACTTATCGTTCTTTTGCTTGTTACTACTTGAATCCAGACTCACATATGCATGATAAAGAATGTGCTGTGTGGAATCTCAGTAATACAAAAATAAATCTCAGAACAAGCAAAGACTTTTAGTAAAAATAAAATGAATGTTTTATTTATGTTTTATAGCTTTAAATCACAGAGCACAGGGGTTAACCTCTCATGTAAACCATTTATTTCAAATAACTCCAAGAAAGGTAAATATAATTCATAATTTTTCATCAGATTTCTTCATATTGGGGAGATACTAATCATACAATAAAAAGCTTATTCGCCCTATATGTAAGACAAAATAATACACTTTAATAGAGCAATGACATGGACAAAAACATAAAGTAAAACATTCTTCAAAATAGATTACTGTAGTATGGATAAAACATATTTGTGTCCAGTCAACAATCAAAACTAAGAAAGTGGAGAAAAGGCAACGTCAGCTTCATAAAACTTCATAGCTAAAAATCCACATAATCCACAGATGAAAATAAAGAATTGTAATATAAGGTAGCTTTATGTATTCAATGACAGTATTCCAGGGAATGGTAAATATCGTTCATTATAAATAAAATTGTTGAAAAGAACATTTTCATAAGGAGCATTAGCAGCAATAAAATACAGCCCGATTGGAAATAAAAACCTCTGCAATAATATGCATTCGTCTGCAGTTTATCCATATATACTTGTATGCATTTAATACTGCATGCATGTATATATTTGATCAATTTGTATACCCTCCGCATGCATTACATTTAAAATGTTGTTGCTAATTTTAAAATGTTATATCTCATTGATTGACAAGTAAGTGAACAAGAAAATGTACTGTATAAATACAAATATATACAAAGAAATAGTAGTACAGGTTTATGTAAGGTGCCATTAAAGGAAACATCCCCAAAGTGAACATTTATAAACCATGTCTACAACAGTATAGAATTTCATCGCGTAAAATATAGATATATATATCTTTTTTTTTAAATAAAAAAATAAGCGCTTGCTCATAAAATACATTTAAGTAAAAATGTAACGGGAAGATTTGTAGCAATAGTATGAAAATATGAAAAAAATACTATAATAATACAATGATTTCATGCTTAATTTAGAATACACTTTCCAATGAAGAAAGAAATGGAAGGAATATATTTCATACAAAAGAGGAAAGTGCACATGCAGACACTAAGTACTACTTTTGCCCTTTGCACAGCAGAGCCAGTCCCTGTATGCAGAGAGAGAGGATTAATGGGAGCACTCCTGCTTCACTTCCTGTCTCTGACCACAGCCTGTCGATGTCTCTCTTCAGCGCCACGTTAGCGGAGCGGAGCAGCTGCTCTGCCTGCTGGAAGGCCTGGTTTTCCTGCAGGAGGACAGGGAGACACTGGATGGAGAGAGGCTCGCTGTTCTTCTTTAACCTGCACATCTGGAGGGACAGAAATAGAGAAATGGATACATAGGCGGTGGCCGGGTGAGGCTAATATTTGATCAACAAACATGCTTGTTATAAACACTGCAGAAGATGCTGTTATGTTTAACACAGCAATTCTATAAACGTACTGACCAACAATAACCACAGTACAGGAGCTACAGCAGGCTTGTCTAAACAGCAAAGAATGGTCAATGACATCAAAAGAAGAACGAAAATCAAGCAGTACTGCACCCACTAACTTCCTATTATCTAGTTCGCCCTTCCAACAGCTTTCCCCTTTATGGGACAATAAACTAAGATAAGAGGCTCCTAGCTGTAGCTTCATATTGTTATACAAATAACATTTTCATACAACATGAAACAATCTGCAGTACAATTTAACTAACCAATGTGTTGAAGGCCTCCAGAAAATGAGGGCTGCTCTCACTCAAGAGGCTCAGAGTTTCATCAGGCAACTCTGCAAAAAAACAACATATGAAACATGACAAGGTTAACTTTTGACATCATTTGCTTAAAATCACTGTGGGAAAATCAGGTTCAGGTTCAGGTTATTTATTTGTACCCGTAGGTAGATTCTGTTTGCAGAGAAAAAAACAAGGGTTCCATCCTGACACTAAAAACACACAAACAACAGACACATCTCTAATAAAAGTACTAGTAAAAGTACAAGTACAAGTTATACCCTGCTCAACCAAATCTCAAAATATGTTTAAAACATTTTAAGAAGGAAAACACTAGTACAAACATGGACATTCAAAATTCACAATTAAAGAAAAAAAAGAAAAAAAATGGCTTACAGCCCTCTACAGACTCAAGTTTGTCCTCACCTTCCATGGCACTGACCAACAGGTGAGCTGCATTAAGGTGTAAAGGGACGTCAGCAGCACTGTCTGTGCCAAGCAGCTCCAGTATGGCTGACAATAATTTTCTCTGACTCTCTGACAGATCCTCATGCTTGGCCATATCCAGTGTTTCACCACTGCACAACTCGTCCAGCTAAGAGAGACAGGTACAGAGAGGAGAGGAAATAGAAAAAACACGAAAAAGAATAGAGTTGTCCAGTAATGACTCCAAAAACGTAGAAATGAGTGAGCATTTGACAACTTTTGTTACCTTTGAAGTCAACTGTTTATGTCATGTGTTTTGCTTAGATGCCTTACATAATATGTGTGTTTATCTAGGTGTAAGAAGGCTAAGATATTGTCATGTTTTGTTCTACAACATAAAATAATGCTGACTAATTTCCGAGCATTAGCCGCCTTTAGCTTAGCGGTGGTGACGTGCAACCATGCAACCGTGATGTTGATCATAAAAGTGCTGTTAATATGTGGAGTCTTTACTGCTGAAAACAATGTTTAAGTATCATAAACGTGTGTTTGCTGAACATTTTATTTTCTGCAATATTCTAAAATGAAATGGTAAAAAAAAACATCGATTTTTTCAAGGAGGCCTTTGCGATGCTAACATCTGGGTCGGCCTACAAAATGATGTCATCACACGAACACTCTATAACACTGCATACCAGTCCTGTTGCAATTCAAATCCATGTCTGTCCAAAATGTCATCTCCTAATGCTTTAATCCTATTAGACATTTGTATGAAGTTATCATTGAGTTATTGTCATGATTTGAGTTTTGTGTGTTAAGTTTTGGGTTTATTTTTGAAATTCTGTTCTCCCTGTGTCTGGTCTTCTTTCCTGTGTTTGCCCTCCTGTGTCTGATTGTGCCTCATTGTGTTCACCTGTTGCCCTTGTGTTTCTGCCTCCCCTGCCCAGCTGTGTCTTGTCCTGTGATTACCCTTCTGTGTATTTAGCAGAGGTGGGGACTCGAGTCACATGACTTGACTCGAGTCAGACTCGAGTCGCATATTTTTTGACTTGAGACTTGCTTGACTAACATTGATAAAAGACTTGACTTGACTTTGACTTGGTATTCATGACTTGAGACTTGACTTAAGCTTGAGACAGATGACTTGAAAGGACTTGACTGTTTAAAATTAAATATTTGCGTTTGTTTTTGTAGTGAGATATTACGTTTAGTTTTTTCGTTAAAACGTGATTGGGTGATTATAGCGCCGTGCGCGCAAACCTGGCAACCCACTAGACGGCAGGAGTGTCAGTTAACATGGCAGCGGCTAGCGTTACTCCAAAAATAGTGAAGTTTGGATTCAAGGATTATGTTGTCGATGACGCTAATAAGAAGAGAACAGCGGTATGCAGGGTCTGCAGCATAAAGATCAGTGACACGACCACCACAACATCCAACTTCATTCGTCACTACAAAAAAACCCACAGAGAAAGGTGCGTGAATGTGTTGTGTTAGCTAGAAAGCTAACGTTAAGTTTAAGCTACGTTAGACTTGGTTTCAAATCGATTAAGCATTGCAAAGAGAAGACAAAACGGTAAATTAACACTAGAACCGCCAAGGGATTCATTTGTACTAACCCTGATACTGACGGGCTGTCAGGAGAGGGAGAGAGAGAGAGAGGAAAAGAGATGCCTCGTTTATTTCCCCTGTGTTATCAGAAGTTACTGTAAACTGTTGAATAATGTAGTTCATCTACTTTTAGTAGTTTGTTTAAATGTTTTAATTATGTTGTTTTTGTTTGTAGAAGTGCATCATTCCTTGATTTATTGTAAAATGAATCTGAACTTTTTTATCTGTTATGATGATAAACTGAAGCAATTTCTAAATTAACCCAATTAACTGAGTTTTAAATCGTCCTACTTAGTTTATAAGGAAATTATGAAGAGGAACAAATTAAATGATTTGAAAATGATATCTATGTAGGTGCTGATGCTGTTGGCGGTTCTAGTGTTAACAGACATTTAAAGGGCCCATGTCATGGCCATTTCCACTGATCATAATTACATTGTTGAGGTATACTAAAATAGATTTATACTGTGCAATTTTCCAAACTCACATTGGTTTCGCATACAGCATCTCTGTCAAGCATGTGTATTCAGCAGTATTCACTTTCTCCACTAAACGACTCGTTGTAGCTCTTGCCCCCCCCTCCCTGTGAGCCTAGTGTGCTCCGATTGGTCAGCTCGGCCACTCTGTTCTGATTAGTCAACCACCAGAGAGGCTGCGCCCATGTCTAAACGGCTGCTCTCAGCCGAACATCAGTCTTATCATGGCGTCGGTACAGCCGTATATTTTATATACATATATATATTTTTAACTGTTGTTATAGAAGAGTGTGACGGCCCCAGGGCCTTTGTCTTACGATGGGGTGGAGCTGAAGAGGCTAATCAGCGCGATCACGGACACCTGGCCGGAGCCGAGGTGCTAGCCAGCTGCCGGGAGTCACACAGCAGCCTCTCTCTCCCTCCAAGCAGCACAGCAATCCTCTTCCCTGACCACGTATCTCTGCATTTACCACAATAAATGTGCCGTGGTTTTGTAAACTCGTGTATGTCTCCTTGTCTTTCCGTTGTGGCCTACGAGCCGGTCATAACAAAGAGTAAGTTATTTTTACCCGTTATAAACTACTACTGTTTGATGAGAAATCAAATCATGGTTTGCTATATATAGTATTTCCATTAAACTTTATTTTTAGAAATGTACAAAATGAACGTAAATATACATATATACACGGTATATCGTCAATCACTCCCCGTTGTCGGCATCTTGCCTATAGCAGCCGGGGCTTTTTAGGACGAGGCCTCAGTGTGGTAGTCCGGTCCCCGTCATGTATTGTCCGGCAGGATCTGGCTGGACGAAATCAAATGCAAATCACAAAATATTAGAGAAACTTAGTTGTTTTAGATTCGTTAGTAGTAGTTGTGGTAGGAGTGTGGATCTATCTAATCAATCTAATGAACAGCTTGCCAGCTAATATGCTAACCTAGCTTTGTTTACCTTGGTAGCTAACGTTAGCTCGGAGGAACGGCAATTATAATGTAGAGTAATAAAACTACTATGAACAAAAGCTAGTGGTTCATATTAGGCTAGCAATAACGTGTTTATAATTGCAATGTTATACGGGTAGTCTGCTACGTTCGGTCATACATTGTAACGGTCATGAATACATTGTTTTGCGCTAGCATACAGCTAGCCTCGAGCTATACATGCAGTATATGTACTGTCACAATGTACGGTAAATCACCCGGAGTATACTGTATGAGTATTCCGTGTGTGTGACTGCAGACATTCTCCTGCCATGACAAACATGTAAGGCCATCTGCTGACATTGTAGTTGATATATTTAAATGCTAGCAACGTAGCATCACAAAAATGTTTTTCCGACCAAACCTAGCTCTAGCTCTAGCTCCAGCTCCGTGTGTTAGATCGGTTGCATACACGCTACGCCAGCTATAATGTAATTACGTTTCGCGACTGACCGCACGGCAAATCACCCGGAGTATACTGTCAATAGGTATTTTGTGTGTGAATGCAGACATTCTCCTGCTATGAGATACATGTATGCAAGGCCATCTGCTGATATTAGAGTTGATATATGGAAACTCTAGCAACTTAGTTAGCACAGTTAGCACTGTGTCAATGGCTTAGCAGTCCAACACAGTTTACACATTTAAACAGTCTTGTTTGATAAATACACAAATAACAATGCAAACTTACAGGTTGTGTACCCGGATCTTCCCCTGCTCCAAACGGTCCAAACAAGCTGTGCATATCCGGCCTCAAACTGGGCAATGTTTTGGAAGCTTTCGTCTGTGAAATGCCGGTTCTTCGAACCTCTGGAGGAGGAACACGCCGCTGCTGGTGTGGCCATAGCTCTTCGGGATTGGTCCATTTCGTTCCGGGTACCGCATGACATCAGGCGGTACCCGGAACTAAATGGAAGACTCAAATGGGCAGTGACGTATCTCCAACGAGGCGTTTTGGGGAGGTATTTTCTGTGTTAGAGTTTTACTCGCTACAGGGTGTACTTTCAGGGTTTTGACTCTGCACACCGTTTACATGCATAAAAACCTTCATAACACACAAGGGGACGGGTAATAACCGGAAAAGCATGACATGGGAGCTTTAAATTAAATATGTGTAAATGCCATATATGATTTTCTTACCTGGAATTCTGCCTTTTTGAACAGACTTTTTGATTGAGTCCTAGCTATATTGTCTGCAGTTCTAGGGTTAATATTAATCTAATATGATTGTCATCGGTCTAAATTAGATTTCAAATGATTAACTGTGTATGTAATGAAGATCATAGTGTGGGTTGAATCCATTTTCATAACCACTGTCTTTTAACTGATTTAAATGCGGAAACTGGGCTTATTCATCAGAATTTTGTATGACTTGACTTGACTTGACTTGACCTGAGCAATGACTTGACTTGACTTGCTTGACTCTCACCACAGTGACTTGGGACTTGCTTGATACTTGTAGGTCAAGACTTGAGACTTGCTCATGACTTGCACATGTAGGACTTACTCCCACCTCTGGTATTTAGTCTTGTCTTCCCCTGTGCTCCATGTCGGTTCGTTGTATTTTCTCACTCTCCATGTTAGTCACTTACCTCATGCTACCTGTTTTTGATTCACGGTTTTTGTCTTGTTTTTTCATGCCAACAGCTTTGTTTAAATAAAGCTCGCTTTTGTTTTGAAACCCGCTTCCCTTTTTAACTGCATTTGGGTCCTACCTTTTCCTGAATCGTGACAGTTATGGCCAAAATGTGTTTTGGGAGGTCACGGTGAACTCGACCTTTGCCTACCAAAAGTCAGAGTGTCACTCACCGAACACTCAACATGTGACAGGGCAGTTCTGTCCCTCAGAGTCTCTTGGAGTCTCTTGAACAAAGCGTATCGAGTGGACTGGGGGAGCTCTGCCAGAGGAGAAAGATCCATCTCATGTGATCCTGTAAAAAAAGGGAGATACTGTGTCAGGTTTCAAACTGAACACGTCTCATTCTTATGTCTACCTACATACATTATCCACTCGTTTTAATCTCCAAATGTATAAATAGTACTGCAACCTTTTAATTTTGGGATATTCCGCTTTCTTACAAACAGGTACAGAGTTCTTGGTAAACCCCTACTACCACAATTATTGAAGACATTACGCAATTACACTCACAGTTTTCATGACACGTTAAAATGGAAGTAACTCAGTCATGACTTACTTGTAATTCGCCAAAAATAGTATGATTTTTCAACATCATGTATATTTAATGCAGACCCAAACACAGTTGCATAATTAACTCATTCTAAATATTTGTGGTAAGGGTTTGTCCTCTTTAGCTTCTTGCTAGTTGAACTTTTAGTTGGGAATAACTGATAAGTTAGTTTGAGTTGAAAAGTGTGAATTGTCAACTAAAATCTGAGAATAGAAGAAGACTATTTGGCAAACTGTAAAATATTATGTATATATTAGTATAATGGGCTGTACATTTCTGACAATGACAGATATATAAAGACCTACTAGTAATAGTCAGAGTTGGGAAAGAATGTATAACATGTAATCAGAATTATGAAATCAAATTGCAAAAAAAGTGAACTGCAGCCTCATAAACCCAGATTGACTGTGGGAAAAATATGCAATACGATTGAGGTTACTTTGCTAAGGATTTCTATGTAATAGAAAATATATTTCTGTTTAGTCTTCGAAACATGGCAATTTTCTAAAACATTTTCTATTTTAAATAAAGACAGCACATGTAGTTTGTGTCAGTACTGTTTTTTGTAAGGGAAACATGGTTGCCCCAAGGGAAACACTGAATTTGCAAACATTTTTGAGATGTTGAAAGAGAAGAAATGGCAATATTTCAATGTTTTATTTTGAAGTAATCCAAAATCATTTCAAAGTACCCTGACTTGAGCATTGTACTTAAAGTTGAAGTTTTATATTCTGATGCTGGTCAGACCAACCACAATTCCACCCAACATTAAATCCACAGAGCCATCTGCAGCAGAAAAGGGATCTTATTTCCTTTCCATCACTTCCTTAATGTCTGTCATTTTCTCCCAAAATAGAAAGTGTAAATGGAAGCTTATCCATTAAAGTTATTTCCAATTAACTGACTTATTATATATATAAAAAGCACAAACCATTTAGCATCAAAGCTACTTTCTCTGGAAACATGCCGTCCACCCAATCCAAGGAATCCTGGGATGGCCAGGACTCAGGCGAGTCTGCTTCAATGCCTCCTATTGTTCCAGGCCGTAGGCATATATCTACACACAACATCACATAGTCAAAACACAAAATCAGACAATTCACTATTGAATATCAGCCTATGGCAGGGGTCGGCAACCCGCGGCTCTCGAGCCGCATGCAGCTCTTTAAGCCCTCTGCTCTGGCTCCCTTGAGCTTAGACAAAAATAAGAAGGAAATAAAATAAAAGTATTTGTAGGACTATTTAAATGTTGTTGCACGGTTGAAAATGTTTCGTATCCTGTATTTTGAGGTGATACTGTGACACATAAATAAAAAACTAAACGGTTTTAATTAGGTCAACTAAAAGATGCGTCACATCCTGCTACGGTCCCGCACCAGCGCCTTTTCTTGCAGGTGAATAACCTGACCCCCGGCTCGATGAGCGAACTATGGATACATCAAAGAAAATAAAAGTATCGGAGGAACACAGAGGGTTTAATTCTGCGTGGTTAGAGTTATCTGCTTTCACAGCAAACGATGCTGGCTTACCGGTATGTTTGATATGTGGAGAGAAGTTGTCAAAGGTGCTGCAGCCTTTACGTATTGGAGGAAAAACACGGAAGAGGAAGACAGCTGACGATCTTCAGTCATAATTCAATCAGTTAACTCTTTTTAGGGTGCAGCTATATGTTTTATTTATTTCAAAGTGGGTCCATTTTTATTGTATTTATTTTCTTCAAATGTGCAGAGGACTCCCTAAGTGCTGTGTTTAATTTATTTTAAAGTAGGCCTGTGTATATATTTTTTAATTCTCCTTATAAGAGTTCTTTGTTTATTATTAGAGGTAAACAGTTTTATATAATGTAATAAATAATAAATGCAAAATAACTGTAGTTTTTGTCTATGATATAACAATTTATACAACTTTATAAGCTATTAAGCTATCAAATATGTTTTGCGGCTCTAGACAAAAAAAAGTGTTGGAAAAGGGGGCAAAATGGCTCTTTTGGTCAAAAAGGTTGCAGACCCCTGGCCTATGGGATGTTAAAAAATGGACTGATTTATATTAAGTGATGTTTGACTGTGCTTCTCTATACAGTGTAGTATTTACTATATTTGTATTTATTATTATGCATTTAAAAAACAAGGACCATGCAAAAAAAAAACATTAAATTAAAAAAGAGAAGAAATGATTTATGCCAGAGATTTGTAATACTCGCTAACAGACAGCTGTTAAGGATAACATGACCGTTGCTAGGGAGGATCAAGGGACAATGTGCAGTCACTTCAATCAGCGGAAAGAAGTCCGGTCGCCTTAACTTCAACATTAGGTATCATCCATCAAAAAACACCATGGAATACTTTTTGAATATTAACTTTTGTATTTGTGGAGAGCACAAAACGTTGGTTTCAAGATGGCTGAACTGTTCCCAGAAAAGAAAGAGGTTTAAATACAGCGCACTGGACGTCAGAAGAACTACAGAGGTGAGACAGGAAGTAAACACTTAAGAGAGCACAGTATTGGCTCTGGCAGTGTTTAAAGACTGGTTCATGGAAAATAAAACTGTTTTTGTTTTTGCCGCAGATCCAGATGTTGGTACGCAATGGAATGGAATGAATACCATATTTTTTTTTGATATATCTTGTCAAACTAAAGAGAAGTGAAAATGTGATTCACAGTTCCCATTTTCCTAGAACATTTTTGTCACAATGACCCCATTTTTTTTTACACACACACACACACACACACACACACACACACACACACACACACACACACACACACACACACAGACACACACACACACACACACACCATACTTGCCAACCTTGAGACCTCAGAAATCGGGAGCATTTCCAAAACCACCGGGGGGGGGGGGGGGTGCTAGTGGATCGCCGGAGCTGTATTAGATTAACATTAACAAGCTTATTGTAGTTGTAAGTGCACTGCCTTGCGGCCTGTAGCACCATATGTGTGGGCTGGACCTGTATTTTACAGGAAAGGACTGAGCAGAGGGTAGAATTGTCGATTCTTGTTCTGTTTGCTGTGACTATCTTCCTCACCCGCTACCATGGAAACCAAACAATGGTGTAGCTGTATTAAAGTCCGAGTGGAAACAGTCCTGAGTAAATCTGATTTTGTCAGAAATCGGGAGAAATGCGGGAGAAATATGACCCCGGGAGGAAACCGGGAGAGGGCAATGAAATCGGGAGTCTCCCGCGAAAATCGGGAGGGTTGGCAAGTATGACACACACACACACACTCACCATAGCGTCCATCCTTTTTAATGTCCAGTTCCAGGACGCTGTACGCAATAACTGTTCCAGACGGGATCTCCAAGGAGACGTCGCTGTCCGCCTCAATGTTGCTGCTGTTCTTCACACACAACTGAGAATACACACACAGGCCAGGAATTTTAAATTAAAAGGTACTTAAGTGACAATCTTACTGAAAAATAAACAAATATTACATTGCTGTCACTTTATTAAACCATCATTAATAGATACGTCAAACTATTTCTCAAAAGTGTACAACACTTTTGTTAATGATAAAAAAACACTATATATAGTAAATGAAAGGTAATTTATGTATACATAATAATGAAAAAGCATTCATAATCATTAGTTAACTTGATTCATTGTCTAATAATGGCACAGATTACAGTAAAATAAACAATATCAAAAGTTTTATTGAATTCTGAAAATACACACATTCACACTCCACACCCACCTTAGCAGGGCTCCCTAGCAGGCCCACCAGCCCCTGGAAGATGCACTGCTCCCTTTTCTTCTGGGTGATGGAGCAGGGGGTGGTGGTGAGGATCCTCTCCTTCACCACTGCCAGCACCTCCTCTCGCTTCTCCATCTGCTTCACCAGATTATTCTGCATGTCCACCAGCCTGACGCAAAATAAAAACGTGTATGAATTACAATGGCAATGTAGTGTATGTGCGTGGTATTTAGGTGTAATCTATCAGTAATTAGTAGAGAGGTGAAGGCATGACACATTTTTGTAAGCTGGCGGGAATATTAGATTCCAAAGGCTCCTTCGACAAAAGGCAATTGTATTATTGCAGACAATAAGATCTTTGGCAAAGCAACGTTTATGATACTTACATATTTAGTTCAGCAGGATAATCTCCACATATTAACACCACTTTTACGATTTTTGAAGTGTAAATGCAAATTGCTAAAAGTAAATAGCAAAACTATAGCTATAGCTAACGTAAAGGCTATTAGCGAACAAAAACACATCATGTAAACACTGCTACACTAGAGGCGGCTAATGTTGAGCGGGATGACGTTCATTTTATGAAGTTGTTAATAAGACACTTAAAAGCTATAGACATTCATCAGTGGTGTACTTACTGACATATTGTATGTTGGATTTGTAAATCTACTAAGCTTGTATTAACCACAGGCCTTATTTGGGGAATTTAACCCAGAACACATATAAAACATTGAATTCAAGACAAACAACATCACAGTTGCATGGCTTCACTTAACCACCGCTGAGCTAAAGGCGGCTGATGATGTACGTGATGAGTTTTAGTGGTCACTTGTTAACAACCACTGTTTTTATGACACATAGAGGCTTCAGACATTAATCACTGGGGTATTTACTGATGTAATTTATGTTGTAAAACAATATGAGTAAGCCAGAAGTAATAAGGTGCTAACTTATTCCTAGGTCCTGCAGCATGCTATTCACATTAGAAACCAAATCACTAGAACCAAAGACATATCAATTGCAGTGTATTTAAGTAAGATGACACTCTTGAACTCTGTGGTTTGCATGTTACTGGTTTGAGGTGTCAAATGTGTTGTCTAACTACATTGATTCCCCTCATGAATGATAAAGTTGTCACCCTTTCACCTTCTGCTCACTGTCCACAATGTGTGAATCATGAATACGGAAATTATGAATAACCTGCTGCTGGAGTCCCGTAACAGCTTTTTCACATCCAGTTCCTCTTTCAACATCCTGCCAAAACATGATTGGAGCTCGGAGGAGCCGTGGCCCTCCAGTGTTCCACCGACGGGGCCAACCTCGGGGTCCAGCTTCCCGGAGACTGCGTCTCTAAACGTCCCCTTGTAGGTCAGAAAGTCTGTCTCGGACACTCCTGACAACACATGTGATGTTGGATATGTGTGAGGGTAAATGTGTCTTACAATAAGGAGGCATGGAAATACTTGAGCAATTTCTATTCCCTTTTTTTCTGTATATGCAGACTTACCAGGACTTAGCACCTGGCCGCCTTGCAACAAGTCGCTGAGGGTGAAAATTGTGGGTTGGTACTTGGGGCTCTGCCAGAACCAGATGCGTTTGCGTTTGACAACTAGTCCAATAGGAACCAGTTTTTTTGAGTCGTTTACTCGCGACACATGGATGAGGCTTCCTTCAGGGTCAATCTGATGGACGAAGTTGGCAGTGGCTTTGGAAAACATGACTTCTACAAACGAGGGCTGCAGACACATAGAAGAAGAAGAGAAAGATACTTTTAACACTTCAATTTCATTTTCTTAATTTGAAGGCGCTAAGAGTAAGAACAAGGAAATATTCAGAAATCATGTTATTATAAAGTAAAAAGCATTTCTCTTACAAGTTTGTCATTTCATTTTTTACAACACAATGTAATAATCTCTCACCAAAATACAATTGAATACTTGTATTTTCCACTTGTGATTTATATAAATGAATTCCAGATTATTGGGTTTAACTTGATTATATTTTTTAATCCATTGGCCCGCTACTTTTAATACTTCAATTTATGTTGCAAGACGCCGAGAACAAAGACCAGATGAGGAATTTTTCCCCAAATACAAACCACTGTGGGTTATTTCCATAGGTATTATCCCCAGTCTCCCTAAAATAATTGATGCAAGTCCCTATGAAGCCAGGTACTGTGTGGGTGTGTGTGAGGGCCATGTATCCCCACATCACCATGTAACAAACAGTTGGTAGTGACTCACGAAGCCTACAGGAAGTCCCCTGGAAGTTGTCAACAAATTAACATGACCACATAACACCACCCACCCACCCACCCACCCACACACACACACCACACACACACACACACACACACACACAACACACACACACACACACACACACACACACACACACACACACACACACACACACACACACACACACACACACACACACACACACACACACACACACACACACACACACACACACACACACACACACACACACTCGTGGCTCCGATGTCATAGCTTAAATATTTAAAGTAACATGTAATGTAATCAGGCGTAAGCAGGATTTGTGCCGCTAGAGAAGAGAGACACAGAAACGAAAGAAGAAAGTTTGAGCTGCGTCTCCTGTGTTGTTTTAACCAAAAGAATGCAATATTGGCTGGAGGGCAGAAAGAGGCCAGTGAGGGAAACAAATATAAAACAGTTGCTCTAACCCTGAATGAAAAAAAAAATCACCCATCCATCCTCCCATTAGAACAACACAAAACTCCCCTTGACTTAACACATTTTCAGTGTTTGAGTTATTTGCTTTGAATTATTCAAGAGATGTTCTTAAATCAGTGAGGACCTGTCTCTAACCCCAAACTCAAAGTCCAAATGTTTCCCAATTATTTACGTAGTTTCTCATGTTTTGTAGGATGTGGGCCAGGGAAAAATATATTAAAATAAAAATAAGATTTTAATGTGTGAGGAAATTTCTGACAATAAATAGACTGGCATGTAGTAAGGATTCACCATGGTCTGGCTATGTGTGAGCAGTAATGTAAAGATAGCCTAAAGGTTATGGTTCTCAAAATACTTACATTGTCACCATAAAGAAAACAACCAACATTATCCACTCTTATTTCTTTAGTATTATCTATGTTTATCTATAAAAATAACATACATTTACGTTAATGTGACGTCAAAAACTTGACGTGTCTCAATTCGGATATTTTCCATAGTACACTGCCATGTTGTGCACCCTTAACACTTAAAGGTAGGGTAGGTAAGAATGGAGAAACCAGCTCGAGTGCGCTAGAATTTGAAAGTACGCAGCCGAAAAAAATCTGCCCCCTCCTTCAGACTTCCTTACAGAGCCCCTCCTCCAACACACACGTACGCGCACATGACCAATGAGGGCACGAGATAAGTTTGTGCACGAGATGGAAGGCTGACAGGCAGGTAGGCCATCCAGTTATTTTAGCCGGGCCGGCTCAGATGATTGGTCGTGCTTTTTACAGCGCCACGGCTTCCACAGATGACATTTTTGAATGTATTTATTGTCAAAGCATTTAATATATTCATTGCTATCGGGATGTTAAGAGCATTCCATGGAATATAACAAAAAGTGTTTCTGAAGTGAATTACCTACCCTACCTTTAAGCTGGGCGTCAATTTTGACCATGTACTGATGTCTTAAAGGTCACCTATTATGCAACATCCACTTTTTCATGTATTTTATACATAAACATGTGTCCCCTCTGTGGTAACGTGTCTCTTTGGTAGCGCGCGCAACTGAAAGTCTGAGAGGGTGTTCAGGAGGAAGCTGTGGAAGAGCAGAGTGGCGAGTGAGAGCTGTCATCTTCCCTTTACAAGCTTCAAAAATGCCTGCAGCTAATGAGATTGAATATAACCAGGGGTGCACACAACTTTCTCAGTGAGGTACTCAGATGAGTACCTGGTGTCAGTGTTTGGTACTCCAACTTCTGGCGATTGTCAACGGGGTTGCTGTACAGACCGACGTTAACAGCAGCCCTGTCTGTGCACAGCACACGGAGACCGGTGATCTAACCGCCTTCTAGAAAAGCTTGACAAGTACGTCGGTACGCAAATGCGCTTTGTGACACAAGTGACGGTACGCATTTCAGATTGTTGCCGCGCATGCGTACCTGCGTACCAGTTATGTGCACCCCTGAATATAACAATCAAAAATAACAAAATATACACAGCTAGATCAGATCGCGTTCTTTTTAGATGCGACTTTAGAGTAGAGGGGAATTATTGAAACGGGATGTGTACAGTGTTCCGCGCATCCGCTGCTGTCGGGCAGGGCTGTAAAGTGTGGGGGGGGGCAATGGCCCCCTGGCCCCCCTGCTTCCGGCGCCCTTGGCAGGTAGCCTACTAACTCCCCTTCAGCAGCTGCAGATGCCTCAGCAAGTAGTGGCATCTGCAGCTGCAACCGGAAGTGGTCTGCCATTGCTTGCAAATGCCACGAAATGCGCTTCCTCTCTCTCACACCTTTGCCAAATCTCAATATAGGACTTGGGACGCACCTAAACACTAAAAGCTAATCTAAGTTCAGAAGTGTGCAATTTGAGACACAGCAACTACCTTCAATTTGTTGAACTTGAACTGTAGTCCATAAAAGAAAACGTAATAAACAGGGAGTAGAAGAAAGGAAAGTGTTTCATTAGGAATAAACTAATATAAACAAATGGCAAACTAAATACAGTGGTTACTGCTCCTATAACATTCCTGCCACAGTATTTACAAGTGTTACACTCTCACGTGGGCAGGCTATTTCCCGGCAGCCCACTTTGTCTAATTCCAGGCTACATTTGGTGCGCGTGCTTTCACAGTGAGATCAGCTGCGCGGAGCCTTAATTAAGAACGCATGATACGGATTATGAGTGTGAAATCAAAAAATAAAGTGGTACTGAACAGGAAAAACTAAACGAATAGGCACATTGGTGAACCAAATAGACTACACTGAGAATAAAGTCCCTTTTGCTGGTATTCTGTATCTTAAACTACCAAAGATGAAAAACTACTTTGTAAATGAAGTGGTTTCTTACCTCAAATGTACGACCAAATTGTCCAAACGCAGACCAAACTACTCCTGTGGTGTTAGCAGTCACTGTGTTCAGTTATAGCAGCGGCTGAATGCTCGGAGAGAGAGATTGACTCAACAGATATGCACTTCACTGACCACACCCCCTACCACTCTCTCTGGAGTTAATTTGAGCCTAATCATATACACTGTGTTTCAGGACATGAGCAGACTTGCCTCTTGGTTTTTAAATTAAATAAGAATGGAAATACTTTCACAGAATGTCTTATTATGGGATCATTCATGCCTTTTCTGCATTTTGATGACTTTTTGGTTTGTGGTTTGCAAGGTCAGCAGAAGTGGGTTATTACAACACACTGTACGACCATAATGTCATACAACTGGCAGTTTCAGGAAATATATTCAAGTTTATTTTCGAGAAATGTATCAGAAAACACCTGAATGTGTTACTTTGTCAGGGATGAATTATCATATCATCCCATGTATTGTATTCTTATTACTGGTTGCATAATCCTATTTAAATGTATCTACTTACTTTCATTACGCTGCTACTGCTAGGGATATTTTACCATGGTTGTCCACGTATTTGATATTCCCATGCGTTTGCCTACTCCATTTAATATATTGAATAGACTGTCCCTTCGATTTTGTACCACTGTAGATTTCACTGCTGAGTGACAAAATTATTTCTGATTTCACTTTTAATCACACAAATAGCTCACAAAACCACACGCCTATGCAGCAGTGCCACATGGTAACGTTATACTAAAAGAATCGCAGGTTACCTTCTGTAAAAAAACTCGCTTTAGCAACATATGAGAGTGAAATGGATGGCAATCCCCTGTAGGCCTACGTTAAATGGAAATGACATTTGGTGAGATGGCTGTTGATTCCCAGAACTAAAATATGGGGGTTCAGATGATAGTAAATTGATGCAAAGACTGGGGTTAGTCAGAATGGGTGGGCTAATAGCGTTCCAGTGTTGATAAGTAGGGCGCTAACTATCTTTTGCATTTTGTCAGAAGAAGCAGAGGGAGGCTTAGAAACAGCTGTAGCAGCATGTCATGGAACTTTATCTCTACAAACAGCTCTGGATCAGACACAACAACTTGTCTCATGATCTTCATCACTAATGTTAGTTAGTGCCGCAAGATCAAATGATGTAACTTCTGAAGTTCTGTCACATGCTGGGTGCTTCGAGCTACAGCTAGCAGGAGTTGTGTATGTTTCCAACAGCTGGTGGCTCTGCATTTGGCCTTCCATTGTTTTAGCTAACAGCAACAGTATTTATAAGGCTAATGATTTGGATTGTGGTTGTTTGTTTGTTCTTGGTCAGGTGGATGCATTTCATTTGTCCGTTTTAATGCACATGTGTTGTTGTTTGTTGTTTGTTTTGTGATGTAAAACGCTAATAAGTAACCTGCATCATAATTGTGTAATGGCAGCATATTGAGTCTCGTTTTTCTGTAGGATAGTAAGCTGTTACCGCTGGGCGACTGTGACCTTGTTGGTCAGTAGGTGAATAGTATTGCAGTTATAAGCATAGTAACATTTCTATGGTCATCAAAACAAGTATGAAAGTTAAAAGGTCTATAGGTTAAATATTAGCATTCCTTTTCCTGAGCCCCCCGCAGCCCATGTTTAAGAGTTAGGACTGAAGCTGAAGGACTCGCAGTCTATATGCCCAAATTCTACCAATTGCTTGATTCTTGGAAATATATTTTCTACAGATCCAGATTTACTAAGGCCAATTTTCTGACAGTTAATCGAGTGTTTCGATCTTTATAGCTTGTTCTCAGACTGAAATGAGAGTCAGGTCATGTCAGTCAACAACCAGACTTTAAACTGAATTATTGACACAGAAAATATGTTTGAAATAAACCATTATTAGATCATTCAGCTTGGAAATTACACACATAGAACAGAACAGACATTGTTAAAGAAAATGTTCGCACAGTTAATAAAGTCATTGTCGGTTTTCTGTGTGTATTATTGTTCTATTAACTGTCTATTTCATATATTTATTATAGTCTCTTTAAGTAGCCACGGGTCCGACCCTCCAGCGGCGCCCATGAACGTCCCCCCCACCCAGAGCGTTACGACAGCGACACTCAGCGGCAGTATTGTGGAACTGCAGCTACTATTTTTTAATAGAAACAAAAGTCAGGTAAAGTGTTTCTCTTCTAATCAAGGCATGAACATACAAAAAAATGACATGTATGGAAGGTTGTTGCCCAAAAAAAATTCAGATCGACATATCAATGTTCAGAAGCACTAAAAAGACCGAAATAATAAAACTGTTTAAATCACACTGATTTGTAATGTTTTTTTTTTACAGTAGAGTATCTAACTCACAGCACATCCCCTAATTCTACTGTTTATTACCGTTTGGAAGTTATTTTAGGTTATTTAACTTGTTAAACAGAAAACCAACAGTTTGGAAGATTTTGGGGATTTTTTCATAAAACAAGACTGGTGCATGAATTGTATCTCAATTCTGAATGTGAGTGAAATAAAAATAAGTTAATATTCATAATAGCCTACTACTACTGCTAAAAATACTTTACAAGCTCTGCATTCAAAATGAAGTAAAACTACAAAAGGATTCACATCAAAATACAATTAATGTTCCACGAGTTAAACTAGACTACTTGTTTTTGCAGAATGGCCCAATTCAGAATAATAGATATTATATAATTGTTTTCTAATTATTGATGCATACATGTGCTCATCCCTTTCATGTTGCAGCTGTTAAAGATGGAGTTCAGTTTAATTACTTTGAACCAGTTCGGTCTCATCCCCCAGCCCTCCCTTTTCTAGCTTCACTAGGTAGGTTTCCTAATTTCGACACTTGTGAAAGTACTTGAAGGCACCCATTTGCGCTCATAGTTTGGTTCAGTCAGCGCTCTCAATACATTTCCTTTAAAGACAAGCGCGTGCACGGTCAAACCAAACATAAAAGTTGTATTAAATTATTAGTGACTTAGAATTCGTTACAGGAATTGTCACGGCTACGTCCTGAATATTTCACGTACGTACTAAAAAGTGCGCGGCATAACTGAAAAGGTGAAAGACAAGAGGCTCAGAGTCAGACATACAATAAATGCTCTTGAGAAATGGAATCATCGTTAACAGTTAACGGGACTACTGACAGCTCTGATGGTAACGTTATTCTGACTTTTTTGCGGCCGCCCTTAGCTAAAGTTAAATACATCTCTCAACAACAAGCAGCTGTGGCGTTTGGCTCATAGCCTTCTTTTGTAATCCAACCTAATTCACATGAATAAACTACGTAGATAGAAAATGCTATTAGCGAAATGCTAAAGCTAACCAGTTACTACTGTAGCTAATGTAGCGGTCGCTCAGAAGGCAACTTGGAAGAACATAATGACAGTGTTCAGAAAATAAGAGCCGTATTACCGTGGTTATAATAACTGTTTGTATAGTTTTAACTATGATAAGTTTTTGTAGGGTAAAGGTTTATAGCCTACTGTATGACAACCAAAGTAAAGCTTACTGTCTTCATTGACACTTGAAGTGAGTTTGTGTCAAAAACGCTGACTCACGTCTTTATATTTCCCTCATGCAGTGGTGTAAAGCAAATAAGTACATTTAGTACTGTACTTAAGCATATCATTGTAAGGTTCTTTACCTGAGTATTAACATTTATTTAATTTGTAAATATTGTACTTTTTACTCCACTACATTTATTTGACACTAGTTAGTAGTTACTTTTACATAATTACAACATGATAAAACTCTTTTATGTATTTTAATTGGTAAAAACAGAATACTATAATATTTGATAATATTACAACACTTACAATTTAGTAGAGCCTAATGCATTATAAGTCTTTTCATTTGGAATACTTACAGTAAAGTAAATTTACCTGATAATACATTTGTACTTTAACTTAAAGGGGACCTATCATGCAAAATGCACTTTGTATGTCTTTTATACATGAATCACAGGGAACTCACCAAGTGTCAGAAAACACAACCCTCTCTATTTTCCTCCATACCCAAATCTCTAAAAAAGGGGCTGCAACGGATCTGATACAGACTGATCTAGATTTGAACACTTCTATGTCGTCACAGAAGTGGCGCTACTATTGGGCCAACTCTCCACCTATCAGGGGAATGTGGGGTTGGGCCATGGCCGGCCATTGCCGCTCGAAAGCGCTGGAGACGCTGTAGTACATATGCCAGGCCTGTAAGTGGCACTGTAGTCTGCCACAAAAGCAGCGAAGAAGACTTCCCGCCCATAGTTACCATGGTTACCCTTCTGTTTATTCTCCGCTGTGGCTTTTTTTCTCCCTCCCCGAGGCAAGCGTTTGCTCCCGCTGCTTTAATTCAATGCAATCCCTCCCCGTCGAGGCAAGCACTGTAATTCTCTCCGGTTAGTCCACCAGCAGATGACAAACACCCACCTCTCCGCCTCTTCCAAGGAACGAGGGGACCGTGCGGCAGAGTTTCAGTTTCAGTTTCTTTCGCCGGTCAAGATGTCCGTTAAAGTTTAACGGTCAAAGGTCTTCTTTGTTATAATATATCATTTAAATATAGCATGATAGGTCCACTTTAAGTTACATTATGAACTCAAGGCTTTTACTTTTATTTTACAGTAGTATTGCTAATTTAACTTAAGGATCTGAGTACTTTTCTCACCTCTGCCCTGATGTGTGTTTACAGCAGGTGCCTGCCATGCTGGCGCGATGAATAGTTCTCTGACAAATCTGGACTCAAGAGAAAACCCCCATGTGTACACTGAGGACCATTGTTCCCCAGGGGCCCCTCCACATGTCAGTGTTCCTGCAGGGGCTCCTTATCCTTACCAGCACACGATCCAGCCAGAAATGGTGGACCCTCTCACCTTAAGGTATGATGTTCATTCATTTTCAAATGAAGTTCCAAAGTGACTTACACGCCATACTGTTGCACAGTTGACCTTACCATGTGAAGTACAAAAAAAACCTTAAGGAATAGAGTGATGCAGGAATGAGTCTTTTACCCAGAAATTAGTGAGCACTTCCAGGCATGGCTGCCTTTTTGGCAACTATAAAATGATGTATAGTTGATCTGGTCTAAGATGAATA